CAGATGTGTTTTGCCCGGTCTACCAGTGTTTTTATTGTGCTTCTTTTTATTGTGCTGATAGGTATAGTTAGAATTTTGCGCATCATAGATGTTCTCATAAAATGGATGGTTTGGTGAGAAATGGCCATTGATAAAATGTATGCCATCGTGAATGTGAGCAAACACCAGTTTAAGTCAGTCAGCAAACACTAATTTCATTAAAAGCAAATTGGTGAGACTATAAGAAAAGTAGTCCACCGAAGAAAGCACAGGGCTGGGGAGGGGGTATGAATCCCAAAACACATCACTACTGTTTTAACACCATAATTTCCTATTCCAACTCCCCTTTTGCTTTTGAGTCTCAGGAACAAGTAACTTGACTAAAAAAACAGGAATGAAGTAAAGTTTATGCCCCCAATATCACACAGTTTGGCCCAAAGAAACCCACAACAAAATACACACCACGAAAGACGAACTGTCACTGCTGAGAAATATGCACACATACAAACTGAAGCAATGTACACTCATAACTCTGACAAAGCATACAACATACTGGCAAAAGTTAAACCTCACCAACCAACCAGTCAACACAAATCCTTGCAACATGAAAAACAAATGAAAAACTCACACTCAACAAGCAGTCCTTTCATGTCCCCTCCTTCGTCCCTCTGGCCATCCGTAGTCATACGTTTTCCTTTTCTCTTATAACTGGGCATGTTTCAAAGTAAAATGCTAGGCTGTTGGTAGTCACTATTTTTATTTACTAGCCTTTGAGGCTGACTTGGAACCCAAAGGCAGGTGTAGAAATGAAAATGATTCCCATGCCAGTCTCTAGCCTTTTATAACCGTTTCTAAAGAATTGGGTTGGGAAGGAGATTTGGTGTGTGCCAAGCAGTGTCCACTTGTAGCATGTTGAGTATCCCAACTGTGCATACCAAAAAACCTCAAAGAAATTTGTTTCTGAGCACAAATGCACAGGGCTGTGCTGTAAGCATGAAATATTACAGATCATTCTGACAGTAGTTTACTCCCTGGACAGCTAAAAGGTTTATGAATAATGACCATATGTTGTTGTCACAGTAGTTCATCTAACTGATGACAGAAGCGTTATGGAAGCATTATTTATGTGTATATGAAAGGTCAAGGGTCTAAGAAAGTGTCTGCCCTTCTTCTTGAAATGAATGTAAAGGAATGGAAGCAGAGCTGCCTCAATATTAAGCAAATTGAGCCAACTGCCCCAAGCTGCAGATTCCATTTGCTCAGAAAGGGCAACAAATTATTAGTCATTTAATCTATTCTTAGGACATTATCACACATGGGCCAGAAAGCGATAATAAAGTGGA